GCATATGAACCGTAAGGTGCTGCGCGCTTGCCGAAGAGTCCCGCAAACGCTGCCCTTCTTCCAGGTTGAGCCCACCCCGCTGACTTTGACACAACGCGCCATCTTAGATTCAGCCAGGCCTTACGAAGACCCTTACGAAAACACAGCACAACGGATGCTTTGGCATTGCAACGAACAAACCATACAGTGCTAGCCATGTCATCAAATCTCGAGACATCAAATCAAAAACACACTAGACACGCACGCAGATTGGGCGCATGCCTGCTGTCCCGGTCCCGTTCCGTAACCACCGTCTTGTTTTGGGCGATACAGTGAATCCTCGCTACTTGTAACTGCATGCTCGGTTTCTGCATAATATGCAGCGAGAATATAATTCTCGATTACTGCATGCGTTCGTCAGCTACCGGCTGCGGAGCAGCGATTCCAGCCTGTATATATCAGCAGCACAACTTGTCTTTCTTTCGTAGATCCGTAGTATCGACTGCCTAGCTACTGTAGTGTCTATCCGATCGCGGCTTGCCCTCAGAAGAGGGCAGTTCTTTTTTTGAAAAAATATATATACAGTATGTAAATTAAATTGAACATTTAAAAGGTTACTATGGACATTATTCCCTTAACGTGCTTGTTTTCTGCAATAGCATGTCGCAGAACGCCGGGATAACAGCTTTGAACATGCCGAAAGATTAAAAATAGAATGCAGATTGAGTGCCTAGTTCCATTTGAACTGGGGTTTTTGGTTTCGAAGTAATTTTGCATGCGACTTCATGGTGCTTAAAAAACTGTCTCTTCCAGACAAATCTAAAGTCGACCAGGAAGAACATGCAATTCTCAGAAAGCCTTTTCTGGTCCCAAGGTAAAAGTCAAGTACAGAGACGGGAGTGTCTTTTTCTGTCTTGTCGAGAAAGTGCAAGTCAAGAAAAAATTACGTAGAAAACAGTCCTCATATGAGAACAATGGCCCGATAGACGCTAGAGCTCAGTTTGTAAGTCTAAAATTCTCCAGTCATCCACTACAAGAAACCAAAAATTTGCACAGGTCATTTTCCTTTATGAAACTCGATACTGAAGATGTACAATATTTTTTGTGTCACGAAAATAACACCAGAGGTATCATTTCGCCGATCAGTCTGACAATATCAGAGTCGCTGTTAGCTCTAGATATATTATCCCCACATTGAAACCACTTCTGCAATTCATGAAAACATCTCCTAAGGCGATTGAAAATATGCGTTTTGAAGTCCTTGCATATCAGCCCCAATTATTTCCTTATCCGAGTTTTGTTTTGAAAAACCAAAAACTGCTGCAGCCCCGTCCCGGAGTACCTTTAGGAGAGTTCATATTTTATCTGATAGTCAACATAAATACGCATTCTGTACTCCTTGCTTTCCAGCACGAGCCAATTTGTCAAATACCGGCCTCCGCATTTTGCATCCCGGACAACTGCAAAAACAATCGAATTCGAGACTGGTTAGAAACTTTCATTGCACAAACTCAAATGATCTGACCCATCCGAGTAAATTAAACGTACCTCGCGTTACTATAAATAAAAACGACCAACCTTGCACGAACAATGCATTTGTTGAAATCTGCTTCCGTCTTCACTCTTTCAGCTATTTCGATTTTCGAAGATTGAGGCTAGAGCTGTAGGCACGTCGATAAATTTCGCTTTGTAGATTTTCAATTTTCTTGCCGTAATGAACAAAAATGCCCCTATTTATACGTACAAATGTTTAACTGTGTCATTGAAGGACGACTCGCAAGTTCACTCACACATTCAGTCTCACAGCGATTTTTGCGTCTTTTCGTGTCTACCAGGCAAGGAAAGCACCCGGGCTCCAATTCAATTATTTTGTATCACGGCCAATCAACCGCCCTCAATTTCCCTATTAAAAATAACCACTTTCCCAAGTGCTGTTTCTCAAAGACTGCACCATCACGGAATTCACGTGTATATACTTCCACCAAATTTTCTCAGCTGTTCTTCAATATGGCTCATCGTAAAGTACGTACTGTAGAGGATAATCATGTATGAATCTGTATTCGGTTTGAAGATAGTGGTCGTTTACTGTTGGCGCCTCACCCACTCGGGGCATCAGCACCTGCGGGCATGCGTAAACTTGTAATTGACTATTTAAACAAAGAAATCTCACCCTTAAAGAGATATAGGCGTGTGAGTGAAGCTCAAGGGGGCTCAGCGGGGCGGACGGACAGAGGAATCCGGGGTTGGGATTGGAAAACAGAAATGGACTTTGCCGTGGGGAAAGGTGTCCTGGGACGTCGCGCTGCCATCGGTCTAAAGTACTGTAAGCAACAAGCTGTTTGTCGCTGCACTGTGTCAGATCGCACATTACAGAAAACATTACAGTGCCGAACAATATATTATATTGTTCGGCACTGTAATGTCATCGTCGTATCTACGTCTATATATTA